AAAAAATCCGACGGATATCTTCCGTCGCTCGTCGATGCTGCGACTGAACTATCCGTCGTTACAACCGTCGCTAATTTGCGACTATTATCTGACCAATCCTCCCGTCCCTCTTTGCGACTATTATGCGATAGATGATCCGTCGCATTATCCGACGGAAATACGACGGAAATTCCGTCGGTTAGAGCGACGAATGAACGACGGAATTTCCGTCGCGTTTACCATGGAAAAACGACGGAGTTTTCGTCGGTCATATCGACTAGATTGCGACGGTTAGTCCGTCGCGTTTACCGGCGGAATATTCCGTCGCTAAAAAACGACTGAATTACGACGGGTTTTTCCGTCGCAAATATGCGACGGATTCACGACCGGGATGTGTTTGCGACAACCATTACCGGACGGAACTTATTCCGTCGAAATCCGTCGCAAACTGAAAATACCGACGGAATTTTCTGTTTTGTGCGACGGATATTTCCGTCGAAAAATGGAGTGTTTTTTGTAGTGAAGCTCTCTCAATTCATGCATCGTCCGACGACCGAACATTGGCAAGGAGTTAAGCGTGTATTGAGGTATCTTGTTGGCTCATCATCCCTCGGCATCTTCTTCGCTTGCAGGAACTCAGCGCAACTCCATGCATTCTCGGACGCTGATTGGGGTGGCAATCGCGATGATTACACGTCGACAAGTGCTCATATTGTTTATCTTGGATCTCACCCTATATCATGGTCCTCCAAGAAACAACGCACAATTGCACGCTCCTCCACCGAATCAGAATACAAGTCCATTGCCTCTACGGCCTCAGAGGTACGCTGGATATCATCTCTCCTGTCCGAGCTCGGCACTGTGTCTGATTCGGTTCCGGTGATTTATTGTGATAACGTCGGTGCGACTTATCTCTGTGCGAATCCCGTGTTTCATTCCCGCATGAAACACGTCGCTATCGACTATCATTTCATCCGTGGTCTTGTTCAAGATGGTACACTCCGGGTCTCACATGTTTCATCTCATGATCAACTCGCGGATGCGCTAACAAAGCCGATTCCCCGCGCTCGCTTCGATCTCCTCCGAGTCAAGATTGGACTCTCACACGAGCCTCATCTTGCGGGGGCATAAAGGAAGGAGATCTTGCAGTTACCGTACATATCAATTAGCTCCTAATTGCAAGGCATTCTGTTGTCTATTTTGGTTCTTCTTCGTTGTATAAATCTCCATGTACATGTAAGAACATCATTATGCAAATCTGATTTTCCACATTATAGTATAGTGCATGACTTTCTTTGGTTATTTTGCTCTTTCCGTTTTTCATTTAGAGCGACTTGTAAGATTTAGATAATAAATGAAAAAAAAAGTATACTTTATATATTTTCCTGTGGCTAAACCATCCAAGTTTGTGTATGTAATTAACTCTTATTTCCATTCAATAAACCAAAAATAAAATTACACATTGCTTTGACTGTACGTATATGGTTTATTTATCACAGCCTCTCAGTCGAAGCCCTTTTCATCTGAAGAAAAAAACACAACTGAGCATTGAAACCCCAAACACAGAGGAAAAGATGACATAAACATGGGGAGAAACTATATATCATACAGAAATTTTATCAAAGTCATTGGTCTGTCCGTTGAGCTGGTGAGGCTTCTCTTTGTAGCGGTACCATTGTGAGACTAGCAAGAAGTAAGCCAAGTTCACGGTCATCATCCCAGCAACCAAGAAGTAGAAATGATCGAGCTTTCCCTTGTTTAGGTCCTCTGGAAGCCACTCCCCCGACGGCTTTCCCTCGGTTTTACCGTGAACCACCGATATCAGGAAGGTGCTTAAGTAGCTCGAGAGCCCTATCCCGCAGTAATAGATAGATCCCGCGAAACTTCTCATGTTCTCGGGAAACTCTTTGTAGTAAAACTCCATTTGCCCAACCCCCGTGAAGGCGTCGGCAATCCCCATCAGCCCGAGCTGAGGGATCATCCACATGCTCGACAGCGAAGAGATTGCGCCTTTTCTCGGGGCGATCCCGAGTGTTGGCCTTGTGAGGGCTACCGTTCTTCTACGTTCTTCCACGAACGCTGATACCAACATGCTTGTGATGCACACAACCATGCCCGCGCCCACCCTCTAGAGGAGCGTGATTCCGCCTTCTTTCCCTGTGAACATTCTGAGGAAGGGTACGAGAACACGGTCGTATATAGGGATGAACGTTGTCATTCCCAGCATCAAGAACACTGTGTAGGTCGCGGCCGGGATCTGGAAGCCTCCGTAGCCGAGGCGCCTATCGCTCTGAAGGGTTTGGAAGATGGTGTAAGTCGTTTGCTGGATGTATGCTATGTAAAATAACGCGGCCGATATCCAAATAGGAAGGACTCGGACTACGCATTTCACTTCTTCCACCTGCTGCATACTACAAAGCCTCCACGGATCTACTGGCGATCCATCCGGGTTCAGCTTGTCGTCTGGCGTCAAGATTGCTGCTTTGTCAAGACACCTGAAAAAACACGAAAAAGGTGACGACTTCTACGACAAGTAACCAAGGAAAAAAACGTTTTTTTTTTTGTTTCGATACCCGAATTGATCTGTGTGGGTAAGCTTCGAGTTGCCGAAATCGTGAGGGATGTAGTTGTAAAGATGGAGAGATGGTTCAGATAATGGCTTCAGCCGTGATTTCTTGATGGCCGCTGCAATAACTCGGGTGATGCTGAGAATGGGACTGCCGCTAGGTTTAACTCTGACGTACAGTTTGGAACCGGCGAAGAAGATAACGCAGCCGAGGAGCATAAGAATGGCGGGGATCGCCAAACCGATGCTCCAACTCACGTTGGATTGAATGTAAACGATGAGCGTCAATGACACCATCTGGGCGATTGTGAAGGTGAAGAAGTACCAGTTGAAGAAGCTGTCGATTCCACGCTTGCCCTCTTTCGTGTTCTGATCGAACTGATCGGCTCCAAACGGCAGATTGCACGGCCTGATTCCGCCCGCTCCGATCACCAGCAGAACCATGGCCGCCCCGAGAAACGTTACCTGTCCACCCGATGGCCCTTTGCACACGCTTCCGACTTCCTTCGCGCATTGCTCCGGATGGAGCCGATGAACCACAGCCGTCAGATCCATCGCCACCGACCCCTTTTATGCGAAAGAGAAGGGAAAAGATCGATCACACGAGTGGTTTTCTTTCTAAAACGGAAATGGGTCGTAGAGGGAAAGGGATTGCTGGTTTACGAGGAAACATGCGATCATGGCGAAGCTGAGGGTCTTGTAGCGGCCGAAGTAGGTGTCGCATAGGAAAGCGGCGAGGATGGTGCCGAAGTTGCTGGGGCCGCCGGAG